CTAGTAGAGGAGAGCGTAAATAAGAGGGCAGAGCTACCATATGTAGGTAAACAAGGGGATATAATTTCATATTAGAGAGTCAAGGAAGGCCTTGCTCAGAAAATAATTTGAAGGCTAAGTTGGATTTAGAGTGCGTGTGTAGTGGGAGAAGAGAACAACATGTGTAGCAGCCTGCAGCAGGAAAAATAGTCCAAAAAATCCAAACATGAACTGTCTTCCTCAGTATCTACATCTCCTATAAATCTTCCAAGAAAGGGGCAATGGGGAAAAAGATGGCTCTGGAAACATCTAACCATAGCCATTCTCCTATAAGTCAGTAAATGATGATTTGGGAAACTTGGACCTAGGGGATCTAGACTATTAAACAAAATATGGGAAAGAGGGGACTAGCTGTTCTGTCACACAACAGCTGCCAAGAAGCAGACCAAATATATAGTCTGAGAAATTTAGAATTCTTTTAAAAAATGCTTATCACTAAAATGCATAGCATCCCATGGGAGGAATTAAAAACTCAGGTATTTAGGTGAACCTTTCGTCTCAACTATAACAAAATATAAAAAATGAGAAGTTCAAAGTTCCATGTTAAGAATGACAAAATCTTTCTAAAACATAAATCTAATTATGAGATTCTCTTGTTTAAAATTCCTCAGTAGCTCCTCACTGTTAGGGATAAAGTTCAAACTCTTTAGTATGATCACTGTTTCCGCTTCACTCCCATTTCCTGCTTCCCTGTCTCCATGTTCACACTCCAGTTAAAGAGCAAGTTACCAATATACATCATACTTTTCAAAGAGGATAGAAGAGCCAGCTTAAAGGAACTTCCAATGGCCAGACTGTGACAATTTAAGCATCAAAACACTTTCAAATGGATGGGCAGATAGATAGTTACAGTTCATTTAAAATAAAATTGTAAAAAGCTATGTATTTATTTACTTATTTATTTAGAAATATTCTAAAACTTTAATATGAAATATTGCATCCAGTGAACTACAGAAAGATTACAAGATGGTCAGTGATAAATATGTTTGTATTTAAGACACTTCTGTTTCACTGATGTTGGCATAGTGTACTTTTGACAACACTTATTTCAGTTGCAGTTCTCTTTAAACTAACTTCTATGCAAAATAATGTGTACACACACACACACACACACACACACACACACACACACACACACACGAGGCCCAGTGCATGAAATTGTGCATGGGTGGGGTCCCTCGGCCTGGCTGGCGACTGGGGCCGATTGGGGCTGTCTCACCCAGTCCCAATTGGGGCCAACTGGGGCCAGCAAGCCGGGCGGGGGGGAGAAAGGGAGGGACCACGGGAGGTTGGCCAGCTGTGGGAGGTTGGCTGTGGGAGCACACTGATCACCAGGGGGCAGCTCCTGCGTTGAGTGTCTGCCCCCTGGTGGTCAGTAAACATCACAGCAACCGGTTGACCAGTCGCTTAGGCTTTTATATATACAGACTAGAGGCCCAGTGCACAAAAATTTGTGCACTGGGGGGGGGCATCCCTCAGCCCGGCCTGCACCCATTCACAGTCCAGGACCCCTTGGGGGATGTCCACCTGTCGACTTAGGCCCACTCCCAGGGGGATCAGGCCTAAGCTTGCAGTCAGACATCCTTCTGGTAGCCAGGGAGCCCTCGAGGGATGTCCAACTATAGGCTTAGGCCCCCAAGGGATTGGGTCTAAACCATTAGTTGGACATTCTTAGTGCTGCCACGGAGGTGGGAGAGGCTCCTGCCACCACCACTGCGCTGGCCAGCCATGAGCCAGCTTCTGGCTGAGTGGCATTGCCCATATGGAAGTGTACTGACCACCAGGGGGCAGCTCCTGCATCGAGCATCTGCCCCCTGGTGGCCAGTGCACATCATAGCAACCGGTCATTCTGCCGTTCAGTCAATGTGCATATTAGCCTTTTATTATTATTATTATATAGGATGTCCCTATTTCCCCCCTCTACCCAGCTCTTGCCCCCAACTTCTCTCTGGCCATCACCATACTGTTGTCTGTGCCCATGAGTTGTGCATATATTTTCTTTGGCTAATCCCTTCTTTAAATTCACTTCTTTAAATTTTTATTTTCAGATAAGTGTTTATAACTGCACTATTATATATTTTCTATTATATCATTTAGAATTAAGATATTTAATTGAACCCTTGTAAATTTTAGCACAATCCAATAAATTATGCTAGAAGCAATTAGGAGATTTTTCATGTAATGCATACACATTTCAATTAATATTTTATTAATTTTTAATTTTTTAATATTTTAATTTGAAATAATCTCATACATGTAAAAAGAACTATAAAATAATACAGCATATTATATGTACCCTTCACCCAATTTCTTAGGTGTTAATAATTTAAAAATAACCATTATACAACTAACAAAATTTGGAATATATTTTTCTTATAAACTCTTTACTGTTACTTAATCCATTTACTTTGTTTTTGTTAATCTTCACCCAAGGATATTTTTCCATTGAATTTTAGAGAAAGTGAAGGGAAAGGGAGAGACACATTGATTGGTTGCCTCCTGCACATGCTTTGATAGGGATTGGGGATCAAGCCAGCAACTGAGGTACATGCCATTGACTGGAATTGAACCTGGTACCCTTCAGTCCACAGGCTAATGCTCTATCCACTGAGCAAAACAGGCTGCAGCTTAATTCATTTATTTTTAATCTATATGTGTCTATATTTAAAGTGGGTTTTGTTTTTGATTCACCCTCATAATCTGTCTTTTAATTGGTGCATTTATGCCGCTGACTTTCAGAGTGCTTACTGATAGAGTTACTACCATATCAGGCGGCTGCTGGGGCTTCTGGGTGGGTGCGCCTTGCTGCCCGGGGACCTGCCTATCTGGGGTCCCGGGGCGGCAAGGCACAGCCGGCTGCTGGGGCTTCTGGGGCGGACGTGCCTTCCTGGGCAGTTGGCCTGCCCTGGATGTCCTGCCCTGCCTGAGGTATGCAAATTAACCGCCATCTTTGTTGGCAGTTAATTTGCATATCGTGCTGATTAGCCAATGTGAAGCGTAGTGAAGGTACGGTCAATTACCATGTTTGTCTATTATTAGGTAGGATATATACATATATATATATTCAAGATGTCAACTGAGTATAATAATACTTAAGAGATAAAAGCTAACATGAAATCTAAAATGTTCTAATATCAAGAAGAGTAATAAACAGAGCATTTGATTTTTTAAATTATTATAAATAGAAAAGTCTATAAAATATACATCAGTTTACAAAGTCTGGATATACAGTGTTTCTATCTGAATAAGTAGAAAAGACTAAATAGAGGGAATTATGAGTAAGCAAACCAGACCTTGTGAAAGTAGAAAATATATCAAGAACAAAAGGAATGATTGACATAAGGATTATACATAATAATAAGGTACAAAGAGGATCCAACCATTAATCTGCACCAGTGATCACCTGAACTCAAAAAGCAGCTAGAAAGAAGTTTCAATGCTATAATGCAAAATTATAACTTAACCAAATGCCCTAAAGAAAAGAGCTAAAAATACAGACTAGATTACTCAAATCCTAGAAATGAAAGCTCTAGGTGGCTCTATTAATAGCAGGATGCTAATAAGCCATACATAGCTTCTAGTAATTGTAAGAGACTACATCAATATATAATAATGCCAGGATAACGGGTTACATAATGCTGGATAAGCAAAATCTAAAGTACTCATCATTTCTAGTAAAAGCTCCAGGGTAAAAACACATCATTCCAGAAACAACTAAAACCTATATAAAAAGTGTGATCTTACAAAGCTTTTGGTCATAAGTTCAGTTATTAAAAGTAGCCCCATCACAGAATCAGTGGTTCAGGTTTGAAATATTCTGGGAAAAGCAATCAGGAACTATGCCTTAACCAAAATCAATAATTAGTTAATAACCCAAATTCTAAAACCGTGAATTGACTGGAGTACTTTTCCTTTTCTTTTTGGTCTATTAAGATTACTATAACTTTCTAAAGATTAAAAAAAATAACCTACTACTAAAATCATAGGAAAATATAAAAATACGTATCTTGTAATCTTAAGAAGACAAAGCATGGTTAATGACTATCTTGTTTATTTAGGGTGATTGGACCATTCAAAAGAATCAACCATACTACATTTGTAATAGTAATTCTAACTGCTTAAATGTATCTAATTAAATTTGCAATCAAACTTTAAATATTTTTTCTCTCTCTTTTTTAAAGCTTTTATTTATTTTTTAATATATTTTATTTATTTTTTACAGAGAGGAAGGGAGAGGGATAGAGAGTTAGAAACATCGATGAGAGAGAAACATCGATCAGCTGCCTCCTGAACACCTCCTACTGGGGATGTGCCCGCAACCATGGTACATGGAATCAAACCTTGGACCTCTCGGTCCGCAGGCCAATGCTCTATCCACTGCGCCAAACTGGCTACGGCACTTTAAATATTTTTTACAATTAGTTTTTAAATTATTTTTTTTTGTTTCTTAGATATATGCATTCCATTTTTCGAGCCTTAAACACAATGCAAACAGTTCTGAATGCTCTGCTCTGTATACAAAAGCCTCTAGGACCTTATAGAATCTGATTAATAGTTATAATCTCTTCAAGTCAGTGACTGTTGTATTGGACTTCATGTCATCAACTGCTAGCACAGTGCCTGTACTGCAGATAGTTTTCAATAAATGTTTTTTTTTTTAAATATATTTTTTATTGATTTTTTACAGAGAGGAAAGGAGAGGGATAGAGAGTTGGAAACATCGGTGAGAGAGAAACATCGACCAGCTGCCTCCTGCACACCCCCTACTGGGAATGTGCTCACAACCAAGGTATATGCCCTTGACCGGAATCGAACCTGGGGACCCTTTAGTCCGCAGTCCGACGCTCTATCCACTGAGCCAAACCGGTTAGGGCTTCAATAAATGTTTTTAAAAGGAAGTATAAATGACAATAATGATTATAAAAACCCAACAAACAAATAAGTCAAACTGGTCTCCTTACCTGCCTTTTTTTTCCCCTTTTGACCTGGAACTGGTTCTACGCCATCTTGGCCTTTCCTCATTAACATGGCAAGTGATGCATCATGAGCTCTGAACAGGTCCACAACCTCATGTAAGGCAACATCTGTTATTAGGTCACAGCTCAGGACCAATACGTCTGTCTGTCAAATGGAAAAGGGGAAAGTCAGTATCACAAAGGACAATGGATCACCCAAATCAGTAAAAATTACAGTGGCTTAGAAACATTGTAAAGATTGTATGTGTGGATGACAGTGGGCAGGACAAGGAGCAGGGGGTGGGGCTAAGAAAGAAAGAGATAATAGCACTCTTCAAATACTTGACAGTCTTCAGGAAGAACCAAATTTTACCTCAATAGCCCAAGACCAAAACTAAGAACAAACAGGTAAAATATGAACAGAAGTATTTTTGGTTTTCATATTAACTTGTGTCTGTTAATCAGAGCTAGTCAAAAAAGAATAATTTTGTTAGGAAATGAATCATTAGAAATGCTAGGGCAGAACCTGGATTATTGCTTGTAGTGATTCATTTATCTAACACTTACTGAGCACTTACTCTATGCTCAACCAAGTCCTATTGTGGAACTTGGAGGAAACTTGGACTGTGTATGTGCCATCAGTTGGCTCAGACTCCTATGAATGAGTGCTGTCCACAATGTCCTGTCCTCAGTATCCCTGCTCAGCTCCTTTCGATGCATGCCTATGGCTTCCTTATGGAGTCAATCCATCTCACATTTGGTCTTTCTCTTTTCCTGATACCTTCTATTTTCCTAGCGTTTTCCTAAAAACCCTGCCTTTTCATGATGAGCCTGAAGTAGGACAGCTTCGGTTTTGTCAGTTTTGCTTTCAGCAATGTCACAGGTTTAATTTGCTCTAGGACCCACTTGTTTGTTTTTCTGGTGTCCAGGGTATCCATAGTGCTCTTCTCTAACTCCATATTTCAAATGAATAGCTTTTTTTCCCTATCAGCCTTCTTCACTGTCCAACTTTTGCATCTATACATAGTAATTAGGAATACAAAGGTGTAGATAATCTTATCCTTGGTTTCTAATGACAAATCATCACTTTTGGTGATCTTTCTGGGACTAGAAAGTATTAAATGTGACAGGCTAAGAAAAGCTATTTATATATTTTAAACAAATCTCTACATATACATTCTGTCATATTTTACCATAAATACAGAAAACAAGTCCAAAAATAATGAATTGGAAAACAAAATTCCTTAAGTTGCAATTTAAATCAACTACATCAATGTTTCTTAATAACACACCTACAGTTTCCCAGAGGTACCTCAGAGAAAGGTTGTTTGCTACTGCCCTTTCTGAGTCAACCAAGGCAGCTCCTCTTTAATTAATTTTATTGTCTAGGCTTCTGTATAAGCTTTGGTTTAGAAAACAGGTTCTGCTACTTTTAAAAGTCTGAAAAACATTGTACTAAATTATCCCAGATTTAAAAATAAAGTGAATATCTGTATTCATGGAAATTTTTCTAAGTGGTTCCAACTTTTCTAAGATTTTAATTTAAAATCAAGTTTCTGTGTTGGGTGGGAAAATGGATGATTTAAACTCATATTCTACTACAGCAAAGGGTTGTCTTTGCTCAGAAAGTAAGGCTCAATGTTTAGGATGCCTTGTCTTACTGCCTGAAATTTCTTATTCTGAATACACATGCTCCTCAACTTAGGATGGATGGGGTTATGTCCTAATAACCCCATCGTAATTGGAAATATCATTAAGTTGAATATATATTTAATGCATCTAACCTACTGAACATTATAGTTTAGCCTAGCCTACTTTAAACTTGCTCAGAACACTATATCCAAAAAACTCTGGTAACAGTACACTATAGAGTATTAGTTATTTGCCTTCATGACTACGTGCCTGACTGGGAGCTGTGGCTCACTGCCCCGGCCCAGCATCATGAGAGAGTATCATACTGCATATCGCTAGCCGAGGAAAAGATCAAAATTCAAAATTCTAAGTACAGTTTTTAACTGAATGCTTATTGCTTTAGCACCAATGTAAAGTCAAAAAATCATAAGAGAAATCATCATAAGTCAGGGACCATCTGTATAGAATCTGTACCAGAACCATCATTTCTTTTCCTACATATAACTTATTATTTACAGCCTAAACAATTCCTTTTGAAGGCCTTAAGATTAAGAAGTTCAAATTTGGATTTTTTTTTCTACCCTTCTGCTTCTCTCTTAATTCTTTTTTTAAAAAAATATATTTTATTTATTTTTTACAGAGAGGAAGGGAGAGGGATAGAGAGTTAGAAACATTGATGAGAGAGAAACATCGATCAGCTGCCTCCTGCACACTCCCCACGGGGGATGTGCCCTCAAGCAAGGTATATACCCTTGACTGGAATTGAACCTGGGACCCTTGAGTCCACAGGCCGAAGCTCTATCCACTGAGCCAAACCGGTTAGGGCTCTCTTAATTCTTAATTCTGAATTAAAAAAAAAAAAAAGAAGTCCCTAAAAACATTATTTTTTAAGGGAAAAAAATTGCTATGCTCACCATCCAGGAACTACCAAATATTAATAAATCAGCCCACATACATGCAAGCTAAGAAAGAAATAGCCTGAAGAATCATACTTATTTATTTTAAAATATATTTTTATTGATTTCAGAGAGGAAGGGAGAGGGAGAGATAGAAACATCAATGATGAGAGAGAATCACTGATTGGCTGCCTCTTGCGTGCCCTCCACTGGGGATCGAGCCCACAACTCGGGCATGTGCCCTTGACCGAAATTGAACCTGGGACCCTTCAGTCCATTGGCTGATGCTTTATCCACTGAGCCAAACCAGATAGGGCGAATCCTACTTCTTATAACAATGCTTAGAAAGACAGAGAGCTGGGCCATTACTAAAGACATGTCATTACAGAAGTTGCTCCATCCTATATAATAAAAGGCTAATATGCAAATAGTCCGAACGATGGAACAACAGGAACAACCGAACTATGACGTGCACTGACCGCCAGGGGATGTGAGCGGAACATGGCGGGTGTTGGCTGCGGCAGGATGGTGGAGCAGATGAGCAGGGGCGCAAGACCAAAGCAGGATGCCGGTCGCTGTCATCAGGGCAAGCCTCTGGTGGTTACTGAAAATTCTTTGCTCCTGCGCGCCGCAGTCCCGCCTGGTGCTCGAACCTGCTGCTGGCCCTGCTCACACCCACTGCCAGTGCTGGAACTGCTGTTTGCACACACTGCCAGCACTGGCCTCACTTGCACCTGCTGCCAGTGCCCGGCGATGGTCCCGATCGCTTGGCGCCATCAGCGGGTGCGAACGGCCCTGATCGCCCCTGAGGGCTTCTCCACCTCCCCCTGCTCCAGAGGGGTGATCAGGGCAGCAGCTGCCAATCACTCTGCGCCTTCAGTGTGTGCGAGTGTGGGTGCAAGCGTGGCTGGCGCCATCAGTGTGTGGGAGCGACGGTGGCGGGAGCGGGGTTGCCGAAAATAGGGGACCAGGGCCCGCGGTGGGAAGGGCTGGGTGGTGGCAAGGAGGATGGTCTGAGACCTGCCCCAGTGCCTACTGCAGCCTCTTGGCCCACAGTTCCTTTTGAGGTACACAAATTCATACACTGGGCCCCTAATTTCATTATAATGAAAATGACAGTTTGCTAAGGGAAGAAAAGCTATTTTTCTAAGCTTCTCTAATAAGATGACTGAGATTTGCAAGCTGACTGTTTTTCAATTAATTCAATTTTAAAGTATACTCCAAAGTGAAGAAAATGACACCAATGCAGATGCCTCTTAATGGTGTCAATGTTGTCTTGGAAAATGACTGCTGTTATAATTCAATATCTGCAAAAAATTAATCTGTCAGTACAGTGAATGCCAAACAAGTCCTGCATAATTGTGAATAGTCCACAAACTCATATTTCTCTTTGCTTTTAGATGACTTTTTGCTAAGCTGAATGCAAAATCCCCAAGGAATATAAGGAACAGGCCCCTCCTCCCAATGTTTGGTTGCCATCTGTTCTCATTTTGAAAAGACAGGCATTGGTCTGAAAGGTCAGGGTCTGGGATACAGATGGAGTGCTACCCCTCAGGCCCTCTCCTGCCTTACAAGAATGCACCATGTAAGACTCGCTGAGACCAAACACATTCCCATTCTCTTCTAAAGGAAAGTCTTTGCTATCTGATCAATGTACTTTGTTTCCAAAGCTGTAAATCCTAGAAGAAGAAATAAAAGTCTAAAAGGAATACTAAATAATCTTCACATCTTTGTAATACTACCCATTTTCCTTTACATTTTTATAAGTCAGCGATTTTCAACCAGTGTGCCACAAGAGACACATCAATGTGCTGCAAGAATTTTTAAAGCATGCAATACCTTACTGTTTAGTCATGGGCACTGACCTCTTCTACCTTAGATTGGCAAATTTAGCCGTCTGCTGTGAATGAATCAAAATTATACCTATTTTCTTTTGTCAGATTGGCAAAAAAATAATATACTTTTTTGATGTGCCATAGAATTTCAGTAATTAGTTTATGTGTGGATGAGATGAAAAATGTTGAAAATCAGTTATAAGCTATAAGAGAAAGAAATTACTATTGTTTTGATTTTTATTCTACAAATGTAAAGCCCAGTATAGAAATGCAAATGTTCTTCTATTAACTGGAGTCCAGAGAGAAAAAGCTGAAAAACTGTTAAGAACTAGAAGTGTTTCTGATCATGTGTGACCACAAGCAATGAATAAACAGACTGTTTGGACTGTAAAGCAACTGTACAGTATATCTGAAATGCAATTAACTTGAAAGTGCCCCAGACACACTAGCCCTCAGCTGCCTTGTGTTTGGGGAGACCACTTCTTTTCTAACACCAGCAGTATGCCTCTTCTTCTGCAGAGCCCAACTGGAATCCCCACAGATCTCCCTACTCACTATTTTAATAGTCCTCAGTATGCTTTACCCCAAGCTTGCTTCTCTAGAGAAGCCAAGGCAGTGTCAAGGGCGGAAAGCACAGCTCTAAAGGACAGCAAATGTGTGTATTTGTGACAAAGTGGAAACATACAAGGTCTTCAAGGGAAGGCGGAAGACAGCACTTTAGTGTTTGGGGAAAATCAAGACACCCAGGAATTCAAATCTAAACTGCTGCCAGTTAGTCTTGGCTAAAGCAAACAAATTAAGCA